CCCTCGTATAGGGGGGGGGGGGGGGGCTAGTCCGGCAATCTTCTTTTTCAGACTTGAAACAAAGGTAGAGTCGCTCATGTTGTAAGACAGAAATAAAAAAATTCTAAAAACACTATGTGTGAGATGTACTTGGAAGATGTGATTGTGAGCTGATATACACATCTCTAAGCGCTTATATACTAAAAAAAAAAAAAGAACCCTGAAAACATTCTGTTAAGGGGTGGCCACGAAACACGCCTTTTCAGTGGATCCTTTCACAAAAAAACCCCCTAAACTCTAAAATTCCGCAAGATGGCACTTACTATCACCATTGATGACGAGGCGTGCACGCTACCGATGGCTAAAGTGTACAAGTATCCCATGCTTGTCGACATGCTGACTGCGAGCAACTCGGATTTGGATTCCGAACAGGATTTGGAACTGGATCTGGAACTGGACTTATCCGAAACCCCCGTGCGACTGGTTGATTTGACGGGCGAAAAACTCTTCACCGAGGCCAACATTATAGCCCGTGACTACCTGGGCTGCAGCACGGTTGTCGACATTGTCGTCTTTGCATCGCTCTGGGTTGGCCAGCCCGAACGCAATTTCAAGCTCTCCAATCTTCCGGCTGAACTCTTGAACGTGTTTCTGGAAAAGATTCCGTTGTGGTACGCCTTGAAATTGCACCTGGTGGGCGATGCACGTGCACATGTGCGGATTGCCAAGGCGTTACCCGGTTTACAGGCTTCACCTGGATGGCTAGACTCGGCCGGGGTGCTGGCGTAGCTCGAAACACACTGTGTGAACTGCCGTCAGACGCTGCTGACCAACTCGCCCGCCACCCTGTGGTTCGCAGACCCACGTCTCAAGTACTGCTGCACTTCGTTCAGAGTTCAAGTCGCACCTGCGCGCCGCAATGCAGGAGTTTTACGACCTGTCCGAGGGATTGAATGAGCAGACCGTCTTGTGGGAGGACGTGGCTGATATACTGCCTCAACCCGTAGACCTTGCGGGCGTGCCGACATTCACAACCCTGTACGACAAGGGTTTAAGTCGAGTTCCCCGACGTGGAAATGTCAACCGTCGCCTACGGCGAGTACCAGAAATACGTTGACGCGATCGGCTGTCGACTCGTCGACGAAATCACCGGCGGTGCCTTTACGTCTGCGAGGTCGATCTGGTTATCGCGACAGCCCCGTTGGCGCGAACTCGTACCCGCGGCTGTGGTGGGTGTATTTGCACGACTGGAAATTATCCTGGACTTTGACGGCCTGGCGGATCGCCGTGCAAGGGTGGGGTTGGTCGAAGGCGAGGCCGGTCCAACGAAACTGTGGCCGTTCGTGTACGAGAACGACGCCCACGGAATGTTTCAAAACTCTTATCCGGTGTGCTTAGCTGACCGAGTGCGAATGCACGGATGATCACTTTGACGCAGCGATGTCCCTGGTGGGTGTTTTGGGTGTTTTTGGAGCGCGAATGTCGTGCAACCACCACCGGGGCTGCTGCGCCTGCTACTCGCCAGCGCCAACACCGTGTGGCCGCCGGACCTGGTGGCCCGGTTGGGTGCCTTGCAACACTGGCCCTTTGCGTTTGTTGAGGAGTTCTGCATCACGTCCCCCACCAGCACACTGGACGTTTTGGATGAATGGACGGGGCTGCGCACGCTGGCAGAGTCCCAGGGTATTGTGCTAGAGACGCCCGAGAGCGTTGGGTTGTATGCGGCAGTGTACACGCATCCAAACTTTCAGTTTGCACTCGACAAGAGCATCGATGTGGTTCGCGACTACATCGCAGGGGCGGTCGAAGATCTCCACTTGTCGTGAAATGTGGAAAGGTACGAGCTTGCGTGTGCGGAGCAGGCGTACATGGGGTTAAGTGATGCGGATGTGATCCAGTGCGTGACACACCCGTGGGGCAGTGTGGCGGATGTGCAGGCCATCCGTGACGCGGACGTCCCGTATGAACTGCGCCGGAGTATGTATCTGAAGAGCAGCGCCAGTAGAATCCAAGTCATAACCAGGAGAACCCAAATAGCACGCCACGTGTAGAGGGGTGACACGCAAGTTGCTTGCCGTATTCACATTGGCTCCGTCCCGCAATAAGAGTTCCGCAAATTTGCATCCATTGTTCGAGGCATCCAGCAATGGTGATACACCCGAGTAATCGGTGATATTGGCTCTGGCTCCGTACTCACACAATAGTTTTGCTAACTCCAACTTTCCGAGTCGAGATGTATAATGCAGGGGCGAACGACCATACCTGTCTCGCTTGGATAAGTCAGCGCCACTCGCCAAAAAGTATTCGACTAGGTACGCGTCGTTAAGACAGATTGCCCGAAGTAGTGGTGTTATGTACATGTACAGTGCATCAATGTTTGCTCCCTTGTTTTCAAGCAACATGCATACGGTTGGATATCGTCGATCCACAGCAGCATGTAGTGCACTATAACCTATACGGGTTTGCTGGTTGACATCTGCACCACAATCCAACAGGCGCTGGACCACGTAAAAGTGGCCATTACCAGATGCATATAGTAGTGGAAATAGTTCACCCTGACATCTCAACCATCTGACTGCTGGTGGCCATATTCCCCACCTGTAGATCCAGCAGTTCCTGTGCAAACACAACGCCAGCTTGTGTAAAGTACTGTTGGATAGAAGAACTTGCGGCTAGTACTCGTTCAAGATTGTCCTTGGGCCCGCACAACATTTCCACCACGGCCTCGGTCGCGCTCTGGTGTACGTGTAGCACTTTGAAATGTGCGAGTTGGAATTCAAGACCACCGGCTGCTTCCGCATTAGCATCCTCCTTCTCAGGTTTTGACAGCATAATCTTGGTTTTTACCGTTTCCATGTAGGACACTATCTGTCCAAGGTCGTCAACAAGCTCAACCACTCTCGCTTGATCCACAACATATTTCTCGGCGGGCAACTCTAGCACAAGAGGTTCACCTACACGATCAACGGCCCGGCTTAGCAGATCGACCGTTTCATTGCGCAGCTTGTCACGGGCTGCTGCCAAGTCTTCAAGCTGCGATTTAGCAGGGTCTGGTACGAACTTTCTGATCTTTTCTTGCAGGACTGCGTGCTTGTCCAGGCTACAACGACCGTCGTTGACGATCATTGACATTTCGGATACTCGATGGCCGGCATCACACAAGGTGGCTACGCTTTCCATCAGAGTACGTCTACGCTCTTCCTCTCGCTCAATTCTTGATGTCTCGGACAAAAACGTTTTCATGTCCTGCAACAAACAACACAAAACTGTAAACCAAACTGTTACAACTATCAATCCACAGCCGACACAAAAATGTAAACCAAACTAATACAGCTATCAATCAACAATCCGAAATTGCAAGCAAAAAATGATGAAGTCATAACAGTCATACATATCGGAATGATAACATTTAACTGACTAACCGCCTAACATATTTTCAAAAGTCAGTAGGTCCTTACTAATCGCAGTACCTACCATATCTTCAAAAGCCAGTATATCCATTGGTTCTTTGATAATGAGTGAAAGAGGGTCGTCGAGCAGTCGTTTCACACTTACGCAACGACTTTTCGGTATATCTTTTGCGGTACCACACACGTCCAAGGCCGAGAGTCCTAACTGTAATGGAATAGCATTTTGTTAGCGGATTAAAAGAATAACTTAAGCTAGACTTGTAGCTTATGTAGTGTTTTCGTGCGGCAGCTGTGAAGTTCGGTATGCTGTTGGCGATGTATTTGTCAAAATTTTGTCAACATGGCCAAGCCGAGATGACGGTAAACTACTGCAAGAATGGGATTATCGTCCAAGGGACACCCTAATCATCTCATTGGTACAGTGCTATGGCGCAAGACTCTGCGCTGAAACCTATAAGGTTTTGAATCTGCTGAGGGTAATATCAGTGAAGGACGCAAACACACAAGAAAGGTCTCAACATACTTTGCACAAAGTTGAAATTGAAACAGCAACCGCACAAAGTTGATATGTTCTGGATAGCAGGTATAGCACCACGCAACAGCAAAAGAGTTACCACCCCTTCTTGTGCGCTACCGGCTGCAAGATGCAAAGGCGTCGATCCCCCCTGTGACGATCGCAACAGAACAAATAATAAGCTGTGAAAACCATACAAGCATCGTACACATTTGTTACATTTTACAAACGCCGACTAAATAATAAAGATATACCATTACACGCGTAAGTGGGATATGGTTATTTAACTAGTCAACAAAACGATCATTCTGAAACAGTATTAAAGGATGAGAGGTGAAGCGGAGTCTTCCCACCCAGTATCGATTGAAATTGAACACGCAAGTATTGGATTATACAAGTGCGAACGAAAATAATGACAAATCCTGTGTCGCAACCAATATAGATCTTACGTAGTATTCTTCCTCAATTTGAGCACCCTTGTCCAACAGAAGTCGAACCACGGCCTCGTGCCCATTCTGAGATGCATTGAGTATTGTGCACGTGTTGACATCTGCACCTGCAGCCAATAGGATGTCGACTGCATCAACACACCCCCTAATCAGGGCAATCGAAAGACACGCACATGCAGATGCCGAAGCGCCCCTTTTTATCAGTTCCGGTAAAAGGGTGACATTGCTGTACGACCACAACTCCAACGCGTCGAGAACAGGCCCCAGATCAAATTGGAGCTTGTCCAGAAGTACAAGTAAAGTGGCCTTGTCTGCATCTACCAGAGCACTTCTGACTAGACGTGCAGTTTCTGATGTATCTAGCCTGTTGTTTTTGAGAAGGTTATCTCTAACATCAACGCCAGTGAATCCACAGCAGATTCCCTAACTGCTAGGTCGAGCGGTTGTCTGCTATACCAATGCTCTGTCTTTTGTACATCTGCACCCATGTCGATGTATCTCCTAATAAAATCTACATTGTCATGGATGATGGCGTATGCAGGTCTATGTCGTAGATTTTCGACTATTTTTGTTCGACAGTACGCACATGCAGTGTTGCCCGAATGGCGAGTCTGTTGGTGCAAAATCGTTGCGGCAGATACCACACGACATCACCTCTAGTGGTCACGTTCAGATAAATAGTTATCATTGTTTGCGTTTGAAGAAACCATGACGGGCCATTATGATGACGCACGTGTAAAATGTATCAAATCAAATTATGTTGAAAACACAGTCAGAAATCCGAAGTATCATTTAATTACGACATTATTTACAATTCAAACAATTTTGATAATATTAGTGTGGCAAATTATCAGTCGAGTCATTTGTACACAACACCTTGCGAAAACCTCCCCCATCAGTTCCGATCAACTACGACCTACACGACACTCCTCGTGTTTGGTCGGGTGGTCCAGCATGTAGTACTACAACCAATCTACAAGTTGACCAGAAGATGACTTCGCTGGACGAAATACAGTGTGCAACCAAGCTTAAGTATCCGAAGATGTGCGCACATCACAGACATCTCGGTTATACAAAATTTTCCTGATCTCCAGTATTTGGACATAAAGGGCTCGGGAGTATCAGATATAAGCCCTCTACGATTCTGCTCCAGGATGCGCCAGTTGAATATATCGGGAACATGAGTCAACAACATTGATGTGCTAAAGTACACACCGAAACTCCTTGCGTTCAATGCTATCGAGTCAAAAGTTGAGAACACACATGCATTATTTGCATGTACTGAACTCCGCTTCTTGGACCTCAATAGTACAAGTAGTGAAAATGTGGCTTCACTTACGTATCAATGCAAGAAGTTGGTATACTTGTCATTTGAATACTTTCAATAAATATGTGTCACAAGTCTTTCCTTGTGATTTGAGTAGTAGAAGTGCCAATCACGTGCACACATATACATGTACACACACGTAAAGGTATATACGTGAACACATATACATGTTCACACATAGAGAGGTGTATATATATATATATAAGCATACATATACCCACACAGAGAGATATATAATATAATCATACATGGGCACACATACATATATATATATATATACTTGTACACACACACATAGAGAGGTATATATATAAGCATACATATACCCACAGAGATATATATATATAAGCATACATATACCCACAGAGAGATATATATTTAAGCATACATGGACACACATACACACACACACATATATATATATATATATACATGTACACATAAAAGGTATGTATGCACACACGGAGAGAGATATGGTATATAAGTGTACACATATGCGTGTACAATCTTCAGTATTTGGACGTAAAGGGGTGGTGTGGTTTGCCAGAATAAGGATTGGCCTCAGCATAAGGCTATATGCGATAGGCTGAAAACAACAATCGTAAAGAAACACTAAATTGCCAACATTTCAAAGACGATTTATTAGTACCATATGAATTTGAAGTATATTCAAATGCGAAGTAGTCTGTGATGGCCGGGATTATCGGTTAGATCGTCCTCCGACATGTTCCCCATTTGAAATAAAAGGCGGGCAACATCCATTTCGACAGGTGTGTAGTTCGATTTAAACTTGAATTTGAGATTGCGTACGTCCGCGCCACGCTGCAACAGTATCCTCACCACGTCAACACTAACATTCTCCCAGTTTAGTGCTCTTTTCAGGTTTGTTATACTATGTGGCTTGTCAACGGGTTTTGCCCCGGTCTTTAGGATGGCGAGGGTACATTTCTCACACCTTTTCTCCAGTATCGAGTACAGAGGGCTATTACCATTGACGTCGATTGTGTCGACACATGCCCGCTTCTCTAGAAGCAAGTCAACCATCTCACACGAGTTAGATGTATATCGCCCTGAAACCCAAAAATGGTCATCAATTGCATACTGCAGAATTGTCTTACCACAATCATTGGCGTAATCAACACACGCCCCTTTTTCAATCAACAAACGAGCCATCTCAGTGTCACGCCTCTCAATGGTGTGCCACAGCATCGTAACTTGTGATTCACCGCAGAGCGTGTCCACGTCCCAAACAATCTCGGGGTCTTTTACCAGCTCCAATAAATGCGTTCTATCTGATGTCCCAGGTGCATGAGATAGTTTGTACAGTGTAAACATAAAAAATTGGTGCCACCCCTCTTGGTCTCTGTCCCAATGCGCTGGGCGAAACACATTTTCCGTCTTATCATCTTGTAAAGGAATGACATTCCAGCTAATTTATCACTGATTGTGAAGTTTGTTATGTCATTCCCTCATAAGACTCTTCTCTTGCCTTTGGAGTGCACACACGGATAAGCTGACGAAGAAAAGGAAGGGTCCTTGTAATTGTGATTGTGCCAAGGAGGGTGGTGGTTTTTGTGACTGTGAGGATAACCGTGTGGCAATCGCGGTATTCAGAAAGGGTCAAACTGACAGGTACAAGGATCTCGCAATCGACGCGCTAAAGTGTATCAAGTCTCTGTCAGATCGTAAACCGAACTACACAGAGCTCGACCACCTGTCGCACGCGAGACCACACGATGTAGTGAAGGTTTTCTACGAAAGGTGTAACCTTGAGCACTACTACTTGGTGTTTCCCCTGGGTCTGAACACGTTCAAGTGTGCGTGCGAACAGTTTTAGCACAACGACTTATGCGAGCACACCGGGAATTCGTTCGAGTGTATGTGCCCACACTTTAGGCACTACAACTTTTGCGAACACTCGCAGATAAGTGCTGCTATATCGTATGAGTGCACGTGCCCTTACTTTAGAAACAACAACCTTTGCGAACACTCTCAGGCAAGAGAGTTTCTTGGTGTGGGCAGAGGGAAGGTTGAGGACACTGGAGAGGATATGTTTGTATCGGACTTTTTTCGCGACGAGAAACGTGTGGATCAGCGTATTTTATTTTATAAGGTGCAGACGGTTGATCAGATATTTATTGACGATTTGAAGCTAAGGAAAAGCGATAACAGCGTTGGGTGGAACGATGAATCGTGCCGGAAAGTTTTGGATGGTGGTGATAAGCACACGTTGGAGGAGTTCGCCTTATTTTAATATCCACCCTTGAACGCCAGCTTTTTCTCCGTCGTGTGAAAACTTACGGAATCGCCAAATAATACCGTGTCACCAATGATGAATCGCACCCCGTCTGCAATTGCTACTCCGAATTGTGCCAGATCCCCGGCAGATGCCACAAGTGTTGCTTCATTCTCGAAAGTCAGAATGATCATAGGCGATGCAGCAACAAAGTCGTCGAACGTAACAGATGTGTCGGTATTAAGTGCATCCAGTAACATTACGTGGATAAAAAAATCATCTTGATTGTCAGGCTCATTATTCAGCATTTTCATGATGTCAGTAGCACCTACGCCGAATAAGGCACCATATGTCTTGGCTAAATCCTCAATCAATGGATCATACATTGACTCGGGAAGAAGCAGGCGGCTCGTACCGGAATCGATCAATGGTGTTGATGCGCATTCTTCTGAAGACGGCAGGGAATTTCTGTTGGCTTGCTTTGGAATAGGAATGCTTACTTTTCGCCCGCAGCTGTCATCGCCAACCTGATAACACAGCTCAAATGCGACTAGTGGTGTCATGTAGTTATCGCAAACTGTCTCTACCACTACCATCCCTTCAGTTAGCGCAAATGCGCCCCAATCTACGCTTCCAGTGGTCGCATTGTTATTGCCTTTGAGGACTGTGATATCGAATTCATCCAGGACCTCTCCGAAATGAATGGTGAAGGCTGGTTCGCTAACTTTTCCATCAGCTAACATTGTTTCCACAAATGTCTTGGCCTCCGGCAGAACTTGTTGTATTGTCGATTCACCGGCATTGTACGCCGGCCCAACCCCCAAGATCCCATCACCTGTTACAGTAGCTTGAGTAAGATTGGTAACTGCACCTATCACGACAGACGTCAGGTTGGTATTTGACTCACCGACAACAACCCAGTCTTCAAAGAGACTATAGCTCCAGGTCTCCTCGCCCGAACCATAGCTAATTTCACTTGAAATACTAAGATTTTTAGCGCCTTCTGGATTGTATTGATCGAATTGCTGGCAAAACTGACTTGTGCAAAGCGTCGAGATGACCACAATGTCATCGCTACCTGTATCAATTTGCATAATGAGATCAGTTCCACCTGCATTCAGCGGAACCGTCCAGCCTTTCACACTTTCCGCAACACCCGCAGCGCCTTTCGCATAATATAAGGGAGACGTGACCACCAGTGGAGGGTCATCTTCGCCACCACTACTATCTGTTTTGTATGTCACAGAACTCGCGCCAGTACCCGTAGAACACATACAATTGCCTCCCAGAGTTACCCCTTTCAATGTACCTGTTCGAGTGGCAATGGAGACCGTATAGTGTTGGATGTATGTCATTCATATTATATGTATATATCTTCCACATCTATGCAATTTTCAAAAGCAACAAGTGCGAACACGACTAGAGTACACATACTTCCATCTACAGGCACAGATCCTTCTTCGCACGTGTACGTTGTCTCCTCATTAGTTATTGTCATTGAACACGTCGTGATATCCCCAAATGTGACACTGCCGTCTTCGGATATACTTGGGTTGAAGTCAATTCCCGAGTTCTGCATCAATAGGTGCATCACGAAGTATCAGGGTTGTAATTGTACTGATACACATGATAAAATGATTTGGAACTTAGACTGGAAATTGTCATATGAATAAAACTGCTTACCTGAGCAGAGACTACAGCAGCTAACGCTCCCAGCATTATCAGTGATTGAAATTTCATCATATTCTAAGTCTGAGGATCCGTTGTTATCGTAATTTTGTGAGTTTCCCTCATAAACACAATATATATATATATATATATATACGCAAAATGTTTCCTTTCAACGCTGCAGCACAATTCGGACATCCCACAGAGGCACAGATATGGATATATTGTATTTTAGAAACAAATAGAACCATTCTTGAAATTCTTGGACCTTGAAAATGCACATTTTGCGTATATATTGTGTTTTAAAATGAGGGAAACACACAAAATTACGATAACAGCGTATCCTCAGATCGAGCACGAAATACAAAATCAAACAAAAAATGGAAACAAAATATATAAAAAAGAAAACTCTTTGAGAAATGTAAATATCTAAACATATGTAGCCAACTAAAAAGACAGGGGAATGTCACCATGTGCGAGGTATGCACGATTGTGCATTTTCAAGGTCCAAGAATTTCAGGAATGGTTCTATTTGTTTCTAAAATACAATATATCCATATTATATCCGAATGGAGCACGAAGTGGGCGAATGCGACTCCATATTAGGATTACAGTGTCAGAACGTGTTGATCAGTATTTACATTTATCCTAATATGGAATCGCATTCGCCCACTTCGTGCTCCATTCGGATAGTGCACCCAATCACAACGTAGGTTAATTGATCATATTATACACCAAGATGTATTTCTGGTATTTACTAAAAGTTTTTATAGTTATAAAATGTATAATAAAAAAACTAAAAAATATCATAGCCCACTAAATCTAAATTTTTAATAAAAACCAATATTAATCTTTTATTTTTTTTTGTACTTGTTTTAAAAACCAAATATATATACTGATCAACACAACAACTGAACAACAATATTTACTTGCCCATTTATAAACAATTTCCTCCTGGGTATGACTTGGATTCTCGAGGCAAATCGAATATGGTCTTTTTTTTTTTGATTTTTTAAAAAACAAATCTTCAAAAACAACATACAAACTTTTTTTTTGGTTTTTACTTTGCATGCACCTCACTCATATTACTCCACAGATACCATAGACTCACATTCCCAATACTGTACAACATTCCAACAACATTCCAATTCACCCTTCTCACTCGAGGTCCATCTCAATACAAAAAAAACAAAGAACCATAAAATGAACACCAATGACGCAAGCAAAAAAATTCCTAACAATTCTATCTAAAACTATTTCAAACTATTTCGGTGGGGGGAGGGAGTTGACAGAAGGCCCGAGGCCAGGGGTGTGACTAAATGAGTGTGGAAAAAAATCAAAAGCAGCGGTGTACAAAAAGCACCTGCGGCACGCCTATTTAGTCACACTTGCCTACCTGGCAAAATATAAGGATCGCCACCTAATTCCGAAGTGTAGTACTACCTCCGCAATCATGTACAGACAATCCATATTCACATTCTCAGCGGCTATATTAATGGGAACTTCCGTCTGTCAGGGCAGGTCCACAAATGAGAACGGTGATGGAAATGCCGGCAGCCAATACAGCTGCACATCAGCTACAATGCTTATTTCAATCGAAGGCGCAGTTACGTACGCAACAACACGATGAGCTCACATAACGCAGGTTCAATAAATAAAAACACAGTCCAAAGTCCAAATTTGTGAAGTGTGCTCAGACCCAGATAACTCTTTAATGTTTGCTAGCAGATTGCATAATTTTCTACTATCCCCATTGTATTAACTACTACGGCACAAAAGAGGAATGCCCTGACACCGGATTGTAATCTGCTTTGTAAAGCTATACTCATGTCCGAAATTGAAGAGTTGTGTAAGAAGACTATGAGGAAGCACCCTTTGTACCACCAGTCGAGGCCGTCCTGTTCCTTGACCGCGTGATCCGACGCCACGCCCTTGATCATCGCCGTGAGCTACTTGCGCGTGTGATGGACGATGTGCTTGATTCCGTTGGACCACGTGGGAACAAGCAGTACAGACGGGTGCGAGACATTAGACGGCGGTACCCCAAGAACATCGGACCAGCGGTGCACCCTCTCACCCTGCTCGGTCTACCCGAACAAGCGGTGGGTGGTACGGACGAGTTCGAGTGTGCCATATGCATGGGTGACGAATGTGCTCACGACGCGCCTCGAGTCGTTACAGGTCTCCCGTGTGGTCACGAGTTCCACCGTGAGTGTGTGCGTCGGTGGCTGCAAAACAGCAAAACGTGTCCCATCTGTCGGTACGAGCTCCCGGACAGCGAACCTGGCTTGGATAGGTTTGTTGCGGTGGAGACGTGGGATGTGGATCGGGTGCTGTCACAAGTCTCCGATCGTGTGTCTAGATGGACTTCGAGCGAAACGACATGATTCATGGACACGACCGGTGACATGGTCCAGCGTCACAGGAACGGGCGCGGTAAGACAGCTCTTAGACGCATCACTTTCAAGGAGTGGCTAGCTTTGAACAAAAGTGAGTGCACGAGATGGACGATCCGTGTCCTTGATGACAACCAACGCTTCCCAAAAGTGAGGCTAAAGCGTGGCGCGTAAGTTGTGGGCTTTGACCCAATTAAGGTGAGGGCTCCAAGCCTGATCGTTAGTAGTTGGATTCTAGTATTTATAATGGATTACACTATGTATATTTAATTAAATTTATTGACCTGTGAGTAGTGACTCAATTGGTTTGCCATGCCAACAGAATATGATGTCATTGTTGTGTCAGGTCAAAACTTCAGTATGTACTGACCTAGAATTTGAGCCCATTAATATAAACGGGACACTGAAATGGATATAAGCGTCTAAAATTCAACGTTTAACGGATCATTTTTTTTACGTTGCAACGAATAACGATATGAGATTAGCCGCACGGTCAAGCAACAATAAATTTGTTTTGTTTTTTAAATACTGTTAATTAAAAAAACAAAATGTTGCTGTGCGGACTGCGGACTGCCGGTAGTCCGGCACATCGATAAACTAGTTACATAGCAGCGGAATGCAGAGTTGCAGACTGCAGACTAGCTGTGAATTGTTTTGCTTTTTAAAAAACGAAACAAACAAATAGCGTCTATAAAAAAGAAATCTTCAATTTACACAACATATTTATGTATTTATTTACTCTCTACTCTAGAGAGTGAAGCTGGGTAGGGCAGCCGGAACTTCCGGAAGGCAAAACTTTATTATTATAAATATTTCGGGAGAACAATGACAATGTTGTTGCTTTTTTTACGAATATTGTATCGTGGGATCGTGTCCTACTGTAATTAGTATGACACTGTGAAAATGTGACTCTAAGGGTCGTGACTCGTGAGACAGAAAGAAAGAAAACTGACAGTCCGACGGACAAAGCTTGGACAGTCACAACTCACAACTCGTAACTCACAGTCACACAAGTCACAACTCACAAGTCATGTTAAAAATATATATATATTGGTGAAAATAATTTTTCCTTTATTTTTTATAGCTTTATATTAAAAAATGGTCGTGCCCACGTGGGTACAATTTTTAGAAGAAGAATATTATGGTCGTGCATCTATTTTTCCAAAGATCGTACGTATTTTTATATATAAATAGTATGTACATACTACATACTACATACAAGTTACAACTAGTATACCGAAACTGAGCATTGCATTGAATTGTATAGCCTCCTAAAATGAAATGAACTAGCGTGTTTTTAGAATATGTAATGTAGTATAGCCTTTTTATAATTTTAAGTTAAAAAATATACCTCGGCGTGGATTGTGGAATAATACGTTCAAAATTGACATGACCATTACTAAAGGTAGTAGAGTAGAGAGGAGAGAGAGACTAGACTCTCTCTCTAGCTAGTAGTTGAGAGAGAGAAAGGGGTTAGAATTGAGAGAGAGAAATAAAATCATTGCCTGATCGGACTACTAGCCACCATGTAGCCGAAGGACAAAAGTGAACGCAGTTTTATGCATAAAGAGAATTTCAAAAATTCAATGTTTATTTCAGGAATAAAAAGCTTCCTCCAAACAATTTCAATTTTCCTATCGCTTCTCCTCGGGAGAGTGTGAATACCATAGCGTAGTGAGTCAACGATGGCGCGCGGCGAGACAGCTACACAGACTTGAAATTCATGTATGTATGTATGTATGTGCGTATGCAGGTATGTATGTATATATATTTGCATGCATTTAAGTATGCACGCTTGTACGTACGTATGTATGTATGTC